CCCTAAAGTAAGATGGCACCTACATAGACTACTGTCCTTTCAAAGCGGGTCTAACAGGGTTTTGAATGAGTTTGAGGGAGGGTAATAGAACCCTATACCTTGGGTACTGCCCCGACCCCAGTGACAGTCTATATTAGGGGTCCTGCTAAGGGCTATATATAACCATATTATAATTATTATCCACCTGTTACTGAGGGGGGGCAGTACCTAACCTTTACCGTACTTAATCCCGGAACCCTAAATCCTACAATGACCCCATACACACAGTCCTATACATCCGAAGCTTCAATATCGGAAAATTGCATGGGGACCTCAATTCTCAGAATAATCCAAAGCCATTAGTCCCCACGAACCTTTGCCGAGAACCCCAGGCATTCAACCCTAAACGCAAGAAAACTGAAGCCCTAAAACCTTAAACCCCTGCACCCCTTAAGTCTTAAGCCCCTAAACCCTAAACCCTAAGCCCTAAGCCCTAAACCCTAAACCCAACAGCAAAAGGTGTCAACAGCATAGCTGCGGGGAGGTGCACAGCTGCGATATCCAGTCCTTCGAGGTCAAAACCTGCCAAAGTGGCCCTGTTAATCTAAAATTTGGGGCTAAGGTTTAGGGTTTAGGGCTTGGGGTTTAAGGCCTTAGTGGGAATACCAAGAGTAATGGTGATAAGGTTGAAGGCTTGAGGTATAAAGTTGAGGGTTTGGAAGGGGATGTCTTTGGGTAGGTTATACTATATGTATAGACGGGTTCCAGACGCTGTACATTAAAAGTACCTTCAAGGGTATGCAGGCTGCTACACCCAGCTCTTTTCGAAGGTGAGTCTTGGAGGCTGAGAGTTTGAGGATACAGGAAGTAGGCGCAAGGGTTCAAGGTCTAGGGGAGGTTGAACTTTTGTTGAGTTCTGAGATGGTCAGTTCTTACAAATGAGATACCGAACTGCAGCGGCTGCACAAGACCTTGATTGTGAGCGGATACTCATACACCAGACTGACACTCAGAATCGCATACTACGAGCCGTGTGGTCGCAGGACTCATTTTTTCAGTCTTGGCCTACACGGCACCCCACGTTTAGATTCGCGAAGCCATGACTGTTGACAACTTAAAACCAAACCCTAAAGCTTGCACCCTGAATCTAAACATGGCGGCCTTCCAGAGCTGCACCGGATGTGGCCAGCGGGTTGGTATCCCACATGCCTCGGAATTTGTGAAAGCTACCTTGGGGGTGCATGGAACTTAGTCACGTGGTTTAGGGTTTAGGGTAAGGCTGCTAGTTTTACTTGTAACAAGCGTAACCTGTATGAGGCCAATCTGAAACAGGACTAGAAACTGGCTCAAAAGAACAACGTCTTATGAAATTTCAAATACGGTTAAAGGCTGCGGTTTAAGGTTTCGGGCCATATCTTTCTTGGAAATTTAAATTCAAAGTAGGGATTCGGTGATTATGTAACAATTCTAAAAAAAATTAGGTCGGTAATTATCCAGGGTGCTACACTATCCTTATTTCACATGTTGTGTGAAATCTGCCCTTCATGCCTCCATTCGCGAGACGAGCTGGTAGAAGGGTTCTGCACTAACGTAGCCAGCGGCTGTTGGCAACTTCCTGAATTGTTGTTATGGAACTTACAACAAGCTACCATAAATGGAGAAACCCCATTCTTGACGATATACCGTTATATACCCAGATTATGGCCAACTTAATTCAAATTCCTTGCCAGCAACCCAGCTTCTCACCATAGCTCTGATGGCCCTGGATAGGCCACAGGAAATAAAGAGCACACACGGTGCGACCACGGCATAGCGATGCAAGAAACTCAGGGGAAATGCCAGCAAATTCGTCGCTGTGCTGAATAAAGACAGTCAACACCTCGTAGTCGCACTTAAACTTGGGAATCACCTTACTGCTGGCGCGTAGGGAAGGAAAGAATGAAAAGGCAATGGAACCAACTAACTTCGGGGGGTTCTACACTTCATTCCCCTATTAAAAACCAGTAAGTCGCGGCGTCTTGGAAGAACTTGTGAATGAAACGGTTGGATACAGTCGAACCTTCAGCTTCCCCCCACGAATGGGAATCGTAGGCTGCGCTGATCTTTGCAGCGCCCCACTGAAAAACAATGAAGGACACGGCCACCTGAGAACTCATCAAAACGAGGGCTGGGGGGTTTTGGGGTATAAGGGTTTGGGGACCCTGGGAGTTTCGGGGATGATCATGGACAAAAAGGGCCCCATTCGCAGGATTTCGTCAAGTCATTCAAAAACTCCCGCCTCACATCCGCCCACCGCCATTTCCGTGCCACAACGCGGATACAGCAGGTTCGTGGACCATTCGTTGGTCTTCGGAGTATTCCTGGGTCATCTGCAGCGTATTTGTTAACAGGGTTTAGGGTTCAGAGGCTCGGTGTGGGGGTTATTGCTGTCTTTACATTGTGAATCTTATCGGCCGTGAGAATAAAAGACTGACTTTGAAAAACCCCGCCCCATTTAAACTCCTTCTTTTATGGGAATTCCCATGCATAGGGGAACTCTGGCAATTAATTACAAACTCCACAGAACCCAACATACTAAAGCCCTCGTTAGAGCGACTCCCAAACAGAAACCGGGCCAATTTTCGGAAATCCTTTCTGGGTTCCCAGTCCCCCTCACAATGAGAAATTGCCCTGGAACGATGGCGCAGGAGGTTTAGGATTTTGCGCGTTTAGTACTTACGGTTTAGGGTTTAGGTTGAGGCTGTAGTATCTTCCTTGAACGTATGAAAGGAGAATGTGTTGAAGCTAAGCCGTTCCGCGCAAGTGCCAATGTTTTCGGGCAGTAGGGCTTCTTAAAAAGTTCGGATTTGCAGTTTAAGGTAAGCCCAGCCAGCACTTGGGCCCAACTCCTTTTGCAAAAACATGATCTTAAGCGTGTGCGCATGTACTGAATGGCTCAGGGATGCTTGGAAATTACAGCCTGCAGAAGCAATCCAAATCTGGCCGTGCAGTTCCATGAATATTTGTGTAAATCCTGCTACATCTCAACATGGAGGCTGCTGTCAGCGGCGGCTTCGCACAAACTGAGCTCAGTAGCTCAGGCGCATGTTTGCTAAGCTCTTGATTCGTGCTGTGATAGATGCTACTTGCGCACAGGAGCTGCACTTTCTCCACATAAGCAATGGATAGAACAAGTTTGCGCGAAAAGGCGCAGCCCTCCAAGGCTAGCACGACAGGGCTTATTTTGGGAAAAATGCGACTCTCGTACCGATACTGCACTCATAAGTACATCCATTCCTGAATCTCTGCGCAGGCATCCTCCGGGATGATAAATATGCTTGGCCGCACGTCCGGAATCAGAGGCTGCAGCGCATTGTTTGCACAAGAGAATGAGGCCACAAAGTGTTCGGCTTGTAAACACTCATGGCGCTCTGGCACTCAACCGAAAATAACCCCGCTTCACATGCTTTATGGAAAGACCAGACCTCGGAGTTGCGCAGGTGGAAAATGTGGCTACGCCGGCTTCGGGGACAGCAGGTTGCGGCGCATGGGCGCCCATGGGACCATGTCCTGGAAGCTGCCACGGTACCCTTGGGATGCCCACAAAAGCCGGGCTTCCACGTTGCGGGGTGCTCACGCGGAGGCAAACACACGCAGATGCACAAGCCAAGTGTAACGTGTTACCAAGTTGTTTCCGTCTTTCCCTTCCTTGCCCCTCCTTCCCTTCCTTTCTTTCCTTTCTTCTATTTCCCTCAATCTCTCCCTCCCGCCCTCCATCTCTTCCTCCCTCCGTCAGGAACCCAAATTATGCCAGCGTAGACGCCAAACAGTGAAAGACCACCAGGAGACCACCAAAAGACCACAAGAGCGCAAAGAGAAGCCGAATCCACGCTGCAGGCAGTTCTTGAGCGTACATAAGCGTGCGGAGACGCAGAATCTACGCAGAGGGTCGACTCCTGGGAGCTGTCAGGGAGCAGACACTCGTTCCTCGCGATGTAGCTCGCGTACTATTCTGGCCAATACTTTTGGAGGACTTACAGGAGAGAATGGCTCGTTAGTAAAAAGGGCCGAATATAGCGAAAAGCTGCACTATGGTTTGTGACAATTTTAAGCCTACAGCTCGAGCATCTCCCTAGGACAATCTTGGCGGGCCAGCAACTTGGAAGGCTCGAAAGCGTGTGTGTAAATGCCTGCAACAAATTGCGCAAGCGTGTGAAAAGTGAGGAACGTGACTACGTTTATTATGGCTGGGGCATGGAGTGTTCGTAGAGCGCGAACGTTATAATGTTTTGGGCATGGATATACTCTCGAACCCCGTGTGCTCTTGGAGCACGAGCCTTTTTTATGGTTTGGGCATGGATGCTCTAGTTATCGGACACAGTGGAATCTTCAGCTCTGGGAAGCAACCCCGGAGTGGTAACCAAGTGGAATCAAAATGTACTCAAAGGTGCGGCGTTACATGTCGCTGGAAGGCTCAACCTAAGCCTCAATCCCTCCATAGAGCCCAAACCCCAAGCCCTAAAGCCTGAATCCTCAAACTCTGAGTGAACCCTAGCCCCTAGCCCCTAGACCCCAAATGCCTGAAGTCCTGAATCCTACATCCTGAGTCCACAAATCCTAAATCCCTGACTATCCAAATCCGTACATCCCTTAGTCCCGGGTCCAAGCATACGGCGACCGCTTCCGCACCGTCTCTGCATCGGCTTCATGGACCAAGCACAGGGGGTCGGTGGTAACCTACTGTGGGTGTTTGGGCCTAGGCTTGTGGATCTAGGGCTTCGGGCCTAGGCTTGGGGATTTACTCGGGGATTTAGGGTTTAGGGTTTAGGCTTGAAAGTGGATGGAAGAAGTCTTGCACCATCTTACATATCCTATATCCGAAGAATTACAATACGTTGGGGATCTTAAGTGGCGCAAGCTCTGTAGGAGTTTACCTTTGTGGGTTAGGGGCAAAGGTCGCAAGGTTTGGGGCTTCAGGTCAGGGTTTAGGGCTTAGATTTTAGGGTGTGGGGTTTAGGAGTTTAGGAATACAAAGATGACGCTCTGGGTCGACGCGGCTCAAGCACTGGACGTCGGGGTTGAGGACTCGTAGGAGACCCTCAATGTAGCCGACACGGTGCTGTGCCAGGTTGTTCAAACCACCAGTACTGGCAGAGACCGGGAAAGTCAGCGCGAGCTCCTCCGGACTCCAGGCCGCTTCCACGGCCGAGTCCTGCTGTACTTCAAAACAACGACGATGGACCGGGCGACGCCGCAAGGGCGTCAAGCGCTGACGTCCATCGTCCGGAAAGTTGCGGCGTGGGAGCAAGCCCGGGAGCTGCAGTTTGGCAAGCTCCACCAGCTTACGCCTGAGCCCTCGACGCGATCGCCAACTATACTACGCGCGCTCGGAACGCACCCGCCCGCCTCCTGCCGCTTGCGTGGCTTTGCCGCACCTGCGACAGCGCGCGCAAGCCAAGCCCTGCAAGCACGGCAAGCAAGAGCAGCCGAGGGGCCCGAAACCTTTCGGCCGAGCTGCCCAACCCACGAAGCAGAGCCCTTCCTGCGCAAGCAAAGCCGCCTTGTTCGGGTGGCTCTGCCGGAAAGCCGCGCCAACTGCCTCCTGCAAGCCGAGAACCTCAGGCGGCAGGCGCCGGGGCCACGCAGCACAAAGCGCCTGCTCAGTCACGCAGCCGAGTCGCCTCGTACTGACTCACACCCCCATGCGCGCCACGCTCACTGACACCGCGCCTGCTCCAAAGCGCGGAAGTGGAAGAAGGAATACCCTCCCAGGTTGCTGAAGCACAGATGCTGGCCGGATACACCATGCTCAAGCCACAGCACAACTCTCACACACACACATGCTCAAACCGCAACACAAACTCACACACAGCTCTTTTGTTCGGCCTCACGAGCGCATGTCCACGTCCAGGCACTGGAGGCGCTGGTGAAAAGCCAGCTCCCTGGGAAAGGTCTTCCCACGGAGCCGGCGGGTGACCCTCGGAATCCAGGCCAGAAGACCTGGCCCGGCGAAAATTTGTTTTTGCCCCGGTGCTCCCGGAAGAGGACGTGACCATGCACGACAATCTCAACCCAGGTTCAGGAATGTAATCACAGCTATGGCTTCTGCTGCGTTAACCCAAACAGCAAGGTGATTCCAATAGCTCTTCTGCTATTCCCAAAGCCCTCATATAACCCCAAACCCTAACCCTTAAAACCTAAACCCTACACCCTAAACCCTGAACCCCGAACACCTAAAACCTCAACCCTAAACCCTGGCCTTTGCAAGCCAAATCAGAGCCCTTGAACCTTCTTGACCCTAATCGTGGGATCCTGAAACTCAAACCTCGTGCCTGACCTGCAGCCCTAAACCCTGTACCCCGAACCCTAAATCATGAACCCTCCACCCTGAAACGTGGACCCTGAACCCTAAACCCTAACCCCTGAATCCGAAACCCTCAACCCTAAACCCGGAATACTGAACCCCAAGCCAGAAGCCCTCAAAATCTGTAGCTTCCATGTTCTTTTCCATTATCCCTATATAACCCCTATATCCCTATATAAACCCTATAGTAGAGAACCCATGCCATAAACCCTGAACCTTGAGTCACACCTCGATATGGTCCCCGGTCGCCCAATCGTACCAGTGGCGCAGCTCCCACTTACAGCGGATCTGCTGCTCTTCGCCTTCGCCCGCGACCTTTGGAGTAAGTCCCCCTTGAGTAGATATAATATGGAAGTGCCTGAGGGTCTAATGTCATGATGAGATCCCGCTCAACCCATATTCTATCTACTCAAGGGGGACTATATGTGGTGTAGGGTTAAGGAGCAAGAAATGTAGGAAGATGTTGCCCATTCTTCGACCATCATCGGTAATACGCCAGAATTAGGTCCACATACTGCGGATGGAGGAAATCTTGCACCGATTCTACAATGTAGATTTCTTACAGCCCTGTACCCCCTTCCTGCCTCATTTAGAACAGGTGTCAAGGTTAAAAAAAAGCGGTGTGGGGATGCTCGTTGCGCCATAGAAGATGCGTATGTAGTAGGTGGTGCAAGATTTCCTCTATCCACCGTGTTGGGAGCTCACATAAAGACTCGATTCCTTATATAAGGGTATGGGAACTGGAGCTTTGTAACGTTTTCCACCAGTATTGCTAAATCGTACAACAGAAGTTGAAACGATTCACCCTAGGCCCTAGACCCTAATCCGCGTCGCGTGCCTGCACCACGACAGCAGGGAGCCAGCGCTGGGTCCACCCGATGCGCGGCCGGTTATTGCCAAGGACTGGGGCCTGGGCGGTTTGGGATTTTCAGGTGTTCAGTGGAGTTTGAAGTTTTTAGGGTTTAGGGGGTTTTGGGTTAAGGATTTGGGGATTATGGCTTGGGGATTTGGCAGCCTTATCTCCCTCTGAGGATCCTGACGACGAAATTAAACTTCCGGTTACTTTTTGCGTGCGTTCTAGTGATCCTATCTCAGGATTGCATCGCACAGAATGCATGCCCTACATCGCCTAAAGTTGCTCCTCAACTCTGTATCCATCTATATCCCTATGAGTCCTAGATGATTGTAGCCTGTTTCAATTCATTCTAAAGTTACTCTGTTGCGATGTATCCTGCTAAACCCCTACATACCCCTATATAATGGTCATCGCAACCCCTATGAACCCTAAACCCTAAACCCTTAACCGGCTCTGCAGCAGTCAGATCTGCCGCTCTAAGGTTAGAACAATGCAAGCTGCTGATGCGCGGGGCCAATAATCTGGGATCCCTGTATACTTACCAAAGACCCTTAATCTTAGGGTTTAGGGTGTAGGGTTTATCTGGGTGGGCTTGTTGCGCAACAGCTGTGTTATCTATAGTAGCTGTACCTAACCAGGAATATATCATGCTGTCGAGTTGTAACAATTTTGTCCCCACTAGCGCTAAACCCTCTGACCCCTAAACCATACACCCAATGCCATAAACAACCCCGAACCATAAATCCTAAACACTAAATCCTAAACCCTAAACCCTGCGCCCGGACTCGGAAAGAGGTTACAATCTGCGGAGGGGGAAATCCCTGCCCTAATGTCGTCAGATCAGCATGCCTCAGGCCTTTCACAATTTCTTAAAAGGGTTTAGGGTTTATGCTTAGTAGGGAAAAGGGAAGGGAATATATTCTACAGGGATTATGTTTATTACTCACCACCAGTAAATTGAGGGACCTTGGGAGAGGGGAATTGTTTAAGGTTTGTTTTGAGAATCTCATATATTTAACTGTTCCACTTTGCAAATTCTTTATGCAATCGAACATGGCCACGTCTAAAAGGGGCCACACAGCCTTCTAAAATTGGAAATGTTTTCACGGGACCTCGCCTTTCAGAAATTCCTAAACTAAACCCTAAGATACCCTAAGCCTACACGTAACGTAAACCCTAAACCAAAAATCTCCAGAAGACCAGGTTTTGAGGCACGGGCCGCACACAGCATCCAACGCTCACCGATCAAGTCTATCCTCGAATTTCACATGGAGATTCGGATAAAACCTAAGGGGTTAAGGGTTTAGGGCCCTTGCTATAGGGACCTCCCTACCCCTATGCCCAAACCCTCAAACCTAAACCCTAACCCCCCCCCTTTTTTGGTAAGCCCTCGATTCAACTTAGACCCAGAATCCGCTCACGGCCATGATCTTCAGGAGGAGGCATCTGGTAGAAGGCCTCCATCATGTGGGGGCTTCCCAAAAGGGGTTCTATAGGGGTTACATAGGGGCATTATAGTGGCTATATAAAGGTCAATTAGGGTTTAGGTTTAGGGTTTAGGGTTCAGGCTTTTAGGGGGCCCCGGTGATAAGGACTATGGCATTTTAGGGTCTATAGTGGGGTCCCCCTATTTCGGGAACGTACCATGTCTCTCTGCTTCAATGATACGGGACAGTTGAGCGGCCCAACTCCCATAACAAGAACCTTGTGACTATCATACGACTCTTGTAGAATCCCTATTCTGAGCCCTGGGATAAGCAAAACACTCTAAACCCTGAAGCCTAAACCCTATACCCATATAATCCCGCGATCATCCCTATATAATCCCCTGCAATCTCTATTCAAGGTGTTGTGTAGGCCTGTGAGGGCGAAAGGATGGTTTTGGTTTAGAGGATCAGGATTTGGACGTTGCGGTTTAGGGCTATATGGGGGTTTCCCGAAATTAGGGGTACCTTTTTGGGGGTCCCTAAATACGGACTATAGTATTTTGGGGAAGTTTGGGGTCCATATTGGGGTCCCCCTTTTTGGGGAAACTACCATATATAATATGAGTATACAGCTAAGCATAATACAAGTATTATTCAACTGTTACTAAGTTGGGGCCCTAAACCTAAACCCTGAGCCCCAAACCCTAAAACCCTAAGCCTAAACACCGGAAAGGCCTCGACCAAGTCGCCAGCCTGGAACTTACCATCCTTGGTCTCGGCCATCGCAACGCGTAGCTACGGAAGCTTTGGCGTTTGTCCCTTTGTGCCCACTGAGGGTTTCATGGAGCCGTACAGTAGGGAACATTTAGGGTTTTTGGGTTCAGGGTGCATGGGTTAGACTCTAGACTAGTAGAACCCTTCCATGAGTATGCGAGAATGGCATAGCGTTATTGTTCAGACTCTGATAACAGAGAGGCTGAACATGACTTGGGTATTGCAGCTTCGGTTGTTGAACCAGGTAAGAGTGGATTCCCCTAATAGCAATTCTACCCAAAAGGAGGATATGATCGCTCTCCATATTGAGGATTAGAGTCTAGAGTATCCACAGTACAAAGTAGTACTCACTTGAGCCAAAGCGCTAAAAAAAACAACAAGCATGCGTGTTGGAAGTGGCAATTGGCAAACAACTGGCCGCATCATGCGTATCACTGCTACAATAAGTACTTCTCAAAATTCACGACACTGTGCCAGAACAAGAACCCAAAAAAGAGACAATCAATTTGAAAAACCTCGACCTGGCAGAAGCCCGCTGGTAAAGTTTTTCCATGCCTGCCCCGGCCATCAGCTCCTTCCTCTCTCACAGAGCAGCACAGCACCTGCTCAGGAAGAGTCAGCAAGAATTGCAAAATTAAACCCTGAACCTTAAACACCTAAATCGTAACCCACAACCCCTCCACTCAAAACCCTAAATTCAGCCTTCTCAGCGGACCATCTCATCAGTCCTCCTCGTCATCACCGCCGCCGCCACCACCCTTGGAGGCCATCATCTTGCGGCGAACGCGGCCTGGGCGGCCGCCGCCGAAGGGTGAGGTCAGGGCAAAGTCAATGTGCTTCTCACTGTCCAGGCGCACCAGGAACGACGGGATGTCGCAGATCTGCTTGCCCACACGAATGTGGCGCTGGCGGATCAGCGTGCGTGCATGGTGGATGGACTTGGCGAGGCCTAGCTTGAAGACCTTGGTCTGCAGCCGGCGCTCCATGATCTTGGCCGTCGTCAGGCCCAACACGAAGTCGAGCTTCTTCTCAGACTCTAGCAACAGGCCCAAACGAACCATGCGGCGCAGAAGCGCCTCACCCTGGAAGATACGCGTCTCACTCCTCTCCTCCTGGGTCAGCAGTGTTCGTGCTGCTGTGCGGATCTTGGCCAGTGCATACTGCACGCGCCACACCTCACGCTTGTTCTTCAGGCCGTACTCGCCAATGATCTTCATCTCGCCATCCAATCGCTCCTTCTCGAAGGGTCGCTTCGGCTTTCTGAAGGTCTTGCCATAGTTCTGGTAGCTCTTCTTGCCCATGGCCCTTAACACCTGATGTAGATGGAACCTGTTTTGAGCTGACTGGCTGCAAATGCATTGCGAGAGGCTTGTTGGCTGCGTTCTGCCAGCTTCCACACATCCGGGTCTCCTGTTTGCAACCAAAAGTACGATGTACGCATGTATACATGCATGTGTGAATATGTATATACACATATATATATATATAATGAAAATATGTAAAGCGACCCGACAAAGGGACTCCCACGGAAATCCCCTCATCTGCCAAGACTGCAAGCAATTGCAATCATGCTACAGCCGATGGCAAAAGCAAGTTTAGGAAGGCGTTAAGCCTGCTCGCGCTTCCACTTTGGATTAAGGAAGTGTGTCAAAATTATCGGCCTTCCTTTCTTGCCTGTTGGCGTTTACATCTGAGGGGAACTATAGTATTCAGCTGCGTAATGACCAAACAGCCCGTAGTATTGAGACTCCCATTAAGCCCTAAAACCCTAAACCCCTAAACCGCTAAACCCTCGACCACAAATCCTTTTTTGGCTCTCGGCCCTCAGCGCGAAAGTTTCCCTGCTTGGGCTTTCTCCGCTGCTGCGAGGCAGCCACTTCTTGGAGTTTAGGGTTCAGGGTTTTCGGGTTTGGGGTTCAGGGTTCCGGGTTTAAGGTTTAGGGCTTCGGGTTCAGGGTCTAGACTTTAGGTTTAGCGGATGTCTGGATGCGACAACTACTTGAAAACTATCTTGCTTGGGTTACCTCCCGCCAGGACCCGTGAATCCCAAACCAGAATTTCCATAATCTCCTACTAAATCCTAAACCCTAAACCCTAAACCCTAGAATCTTACCCCCTACATCCCCTTTTAAAGGGACACTTAATTTTGGGGAAACCTACATCCTGAACCCTAGTCTCCTACAGGATGCCCGGATCATTGGGAGCCTTGGCTGTTGTAGCCAGCCTGGATCAGTGCACCCAAGCTCTTCAAGCCGGCATCGCCCCCCTTGCAGAAGTCGTTTAGGGGTTTAGGCTTTAGGGTTCAGGGTTTAGGGTTGAGGGTTGAAGGTTGAAGCTTTAGGGTTTAGGGTTTAGGGTGAGAATTCTGGGGGTTCTTTAGGAATTTGTAGGTGCATACAGGGGTGTATAGGGTTGCATAGAATAAGAGGACTTTCGGGAACCCAAAACAGGGAGCCCCAGCCAAGAATACAGTAGGAATATACTTGCCAGGGCCCTGATATTCCTATTATATTCGGGTTCTTGTTCAAGGCCATGACCGGCAAATTTTCAAGCCAGCACAATCCTATGCGCCTACCTGTCCTGTGCTGAGATTTGTGAATCACTTCTCCCCAGGGCCTCACTACAAAGAACCTCACTGCAAAGAAGAACCTGTCGCAAAAAAAAGGATGGTTTCGTCCGGGGTGGCGGCTCCAAAAGCTATTTGTGCAGTTAAAAGAAAAGGGCCTCATCCTGCTTCTAGAAACACTTGAAACTACCCATGAACCTTCGCTACAGTCAATGTTTCCGATATAACTAATGGACATTAGTGAGTATTCGTATTGGGGACTATACTCAACTACCACAGGGAGCTCTATGTCAACCATTTACATGGTCCCTTGGCAAGCCCAATATGGACAATAGCTCAAATAGGGTCTTCGTCATCGCTTTAAGATTGTGACCTATGTTGCATTTCTTCGAAACGGGACAAGACCCCCTGACCCAAAACCCTTTAATCCTGAAAGTGTAGGTCGGAACCCTTATATAACCTATCAAACCCTCATAAACCCCATTTAGGGCCCATAGCTGCGACCCAGGAAATAGGTAAGGGCCCATATAAGCTATAGTCTAAGCTCCTAGTATCTGCCGTGATAACTTTCATAGTACTCGACAACTCTCATAGTACTCTCCTATGTGATCCCCTATATAGTCCCTTTGAGGAGTTTAGACTACAGCTCATATCTAAGGGCCTAAACCCTCAAAACCTTTGAATTTTTAGCCTTTGAACTCGGAGTCTGAACGTTTCAATCCCGGACTCTAAGCCTTGAAACCCTAACCTGATATGGTTTGGGGTTATAAGGGTGACTCCAAAAAGAACAGACCTCCTAAGAAGCCCCATTCGAAGGACATCGTAAGGGACCTGTTTTGTGACTTCGAAAGTATGTCTTGAGCAATTCCCCTTTGCAGTGACAGATACCGCAATGCGTAATAGGAGTAAGAACAGCCCCTTAATAAGACCCCTTTAAAGACAGTTCCTGTAATTTACTGTAAAGGGAATGGCCCAATATGTACATTACAAAGAAAAAAATGTATATATATATATAGTATACTAGTCCTTATGAAAAGGAACCCCCAGCTCTTAGTAGTCAATGAGGGAATATAATTCCTACGTGACACCCTACTACCCCTAAATCCTAAACATATATACCCTTATTCCATACTAAGCCCCCAGTATAGAAAGCTTGGATCCAACCTTGAGCCATTGCTTCATCATCGCTGCACCGACGTCCACCTCACCCGATGCCAAGGACTGAACGGCCTAAGCTGTAGCAATTTACCAAAAAATGGATTAGGGCTTTAGGGTTTAGGGAATTAAGATGTAGGATTTAGGGACGACTCCCACTTGGGTTGTCCCTTGATTCAACCTGCCTAGGCGTAGCTAAGTCAGGATGGAACCTGAAAAGAAGCCCTATCAAGACTACTGCCCTTTCAGCAGGGGCCGGTGACACCCTAAACCCTAAACCCTAAGCCCTCTTGTTAGGGTGCTATGGAAAATTGTTCTCTCTCCCACAGGGCTTCGATTCAAGAATCTCAAAACCTCCCATGACGCATGGTTTTGCTTGCGGTCTCCGCAACTGGAATATTCCCAACGAACCCTACATATGTACACTTACGAAGAACCATATCAAAACCCTACCTCTTATCAGACTCTTATCTGCATCTGGGATTATAGCACTATGGCAATATTTACGGCCAGCAGGGGCGGTCGGAAACATGTATCCCATCAGAAAAGGGTTCCAAGGGTGGGCATGGGATCGTGGAGAGACCCCAGCTTAGGGTGCTGTAGCACGTTCCCTGTCCCAATACCAGATGCACGGAGTGCAATCCTAACTCCAAATCCCGCAACCTTGTTCAGAATCTGGATTTCAAACCTCTGATTGTATTTTGTAGAACCATGTTTAACTAGAAGCCTTAAACCCAAATTGCAACACACTATGCCCTGCCCTCTGGCCTGTGATACCTGACCCTTGACCCTTGGCCTTGGATCTAAAGTCCCCAGTACTGCCCAATCTATTCCTCTTACAAAATACTACAACGAGGTAGAAAATAATTACTCCACATTGGAACCCTAAACACTGTATGGAGGGGCTATAGGATCCACATGGTAGTTTCCCAAAATCAGGGGACCCCAATATAGACCCCAAAATACTATAGTCCTTATTATAGGGACCCCTAAAAAGGGTACCCCTAAATTGGGAAACCCCCACATTGAAACTACTACTCATCTGAACTCTTCACGTTCGTTAGGACTCGGCTGTGATTGATGCACCCCAAGCCTGCAAAGAAAAAATCTCAACCTGCTTAGGACACGACTTAGGATTCAGCGCTTGCAGATCAGGGTTGGCGTTATGAGGAGCAGTTCCTATGAAGGACATCAAGCTTCAAAATTGTGCCTAACCACCTAACCCCTAAACCCTATCCCATCATCCCCATACTTGATATGACTATGACTGTTACTATTACCAGTATCCCAAGACTATCCCCCCTACACACACACGGTTTAAGGTTTAGGGCTTTGGGCTTAGAAACCCTAAACCTTAAAACAATTTGAGCGATAGTCTCAACTCCTGGTATTCCCCTTCATAACCCCCTCCCCATATATAATCCCCTATATAACCCCCTTTAAGGATTTTGGACCCTAAACCCTAAACCCCACCTTAAACCAGGAAAATTGGAGCCCAACCCTGGCTGAGCTCTTCGCCAGAGTTCCTGGCCAGGGGCCGGTGGCTCTTGGACACGAGTTAGGTTTCAGGGTTTATAGGGTTTAGGGTTTAGTGTTTAGAGCTTTTGGGTTTGGTGTTTAGGGGCTAGGGTTTAGGCACTGTTCTGGGTTTAGGTTTAGGGTTTAGGGGTTAGGGTTCTGGATTTGGGGTTTAGGGTTTAGGGATACCGTTCTGGGTCTTAGGCTGAGGGTGTAGGGTTCAGGTTTGGGGTTTAAGGTTGCTAGATGCTTGTGGGAACGCTACCACTGATACAGCCTTTGCAAGCGAATAACCATAAGCATCCCATTGGGACCGTAAAGCTCCAGCTTTCTCACTGGTTTTAGCAAGGACTAAGGGAATGTATTATACAGGGGTGATATAGGGATTATATTCCTCTATTCCAGTGTTCTCACTGGTTATGAGCGAATAAAGGAATATACTATACAGGGGTTATATAGGGATGATAACCCCTTATTCCCTATTGCCTTTGTAAGTCCAGTTTCCATGGCATTCCCCATTTTTCACTTGATTTTCATTACTAAAATATCCTTTACTCTAATATCTCCATGTAGCCCTCTCTCCCTGTAAGATCACTGATATAACCCCTCTACATGGACCCTAAGCAAACACCCAATCAGACCCTGAGCAGTTTCAGTGGCGCCCGCCTCGCAGCTTGTTGCACGAAGCCTTGACCTTCAGGGATATCTGTATATATATATATACATGTATATATAGTTTAAGGTTCAGGGTTTAGGGTTCAGGGTTAGTACAGAAGAAGGGATTATGTTATACAGAGATTCAAAAGGAATTACATTCCCTTATTCTTTACTAACCACACACAAGGCAAGGGATTGAGGCTCAGGGTGTAGGGGTTGAGGCTCGGGGTTCTTGTAGAGATCTAAGGTTTCGGGTAGAGGGTTTAGGGCCTAAAGTTTTTATTCGATTTTAGGTACAGGGGTGTAAGCTTAAAGGAATGGAAAAGGAAATGGATGCTACGCTATTATGAGCTTAGGGTCGATCTGCAAGAAGATCCAGGAATCCAGTGTTTAGGGAGATTAAGTCATCACCCTGAGGATTGAGAATTGCAGCCCCAAATACTATGATCCTTTTTAAAGAGGACCCAAAAAGGCACCCCCAATTTTTGGAGACTCCCCACATACTCTTCCAGCGCCGCTGTTCGGCTGTCCAGAAAGTCGCTCCGAAACGCCCCAGGCAGTAGATCGCGGCCCAGCTGAGGGTGCAAGATGCGGTTGAACCAGCCTTAGGGGTTTAGGGTTTAGGGTCCCAGAGAGCCCAATATGGCTTAATCAGGGAATATACCTTAAAGTATTTATGGGCCCTTAATATGATTTAAGGCATCTTCCTTTATTCTGCTATATTGGGCTTTCTGGGCTACTATCTAAAGTTTTACGATCTGGTGCGTAGATTTCAAGGCTTAGGGCTTAGCTGCGCTACAGGATTCAGAGTTCAGGGCTTAGAGCTCAAGATGTACGGTCCTGCTTCTGCTGGAACACTTTTATGCATCCAAGCCTTCCGTAAAGTTCTGCTAGCTGCCCCTCAATTTATCACCTTTGCCTTTGAGGGGGGTCGCTGCCCCCTCCAACCCCCCGCGAGGAGCGGCTGCGATCCCTTGACCCCTCCGAGAATTGGTAGTTTCTCAAAATAAGGGGACCCTAATATAGACCCCAATATACTATAATCCTTATTATGGGGACCCCTAATTTTGGGAAACCCCCAATTCTATCCAGGACCACCTCCCCCTTCAACACCGTTCAGCTGCTCTTAAACTCTGAATCTTAAAACCTCAAAGAATAGACTTTCGAACTGCTGTTTAGCAATTTGAGAACAGAATGCGCCGAACTCAAGCTGCTGTTCCGGCATCCCTAAAACCTTGACATCCTTAAAAAACCACAATTTTCGTCTCGGTTTCCATTTGATCTTCCCTTTGATCGCCTACTATTCTTCCTGCCCCCCCTTTCACATCTCCCAAATTATCCCTAACCCTTTTTTACCCCTTTACAAATTTTCTGACCAACCCAGAACCCTCAACCGCGTGATTTGCTGAGCCAGCAGGCCTTGCAGGGAGTCCAAGGCATGCGACACAGCTGTAGCCTGAGCCGGCGTGGAAGCACCCTTGCCTCAGTTTGCTGGTGCTAAAGGGGAAATGGGGAAGTGACAAAAATGAAAACTGCTGTAGAAGTTAAGATATAGGGTGCAGTGGGGCCTAAATAGTAGTTTCCATTTTTCCATTATCCCCATATAACACCAATACAACCCCTTATTCCCAATATCGGTAGCGAGAATTGTACAGGATTCTACAAGGGTTCTGTTAAGGATCCACCCCCGCTTCCCCTGAAGGACTAGCAGCTCAATGGCTCTCACCCCCACTGCATACATGTCGAGTTACGGGTTTAGGGAGTGAATCCTAAGCTCTAAGAATCTGTGGCAGTGGCAGCCCGGATCAGCATTGTGATGGTGCAGAACATGTGAGCTACAGTCAATATTATCCGTATAACTGCAGGACATGGGTTCCTGTAAGGGAAAATGTTAAGGACTATACAGGGGTGTATGGAGGTATATGGGGATTAGATATATATGTATGAACATTTAACATGGAATGGAAAAAGAAATGGAAACCGATTGCGGTAGCTCATGCAGGCAGTGGAGCAACCTCTCCAAATTATTGAAAGCAGTGTTGTCATTTGCAAGGATGCCCCGATACCTTCCTGTGACCAAGGTGACTAGTCTGACAAAAATGCTAGACCACCCATAGCACCTAACCCCAAACCCTAAACACACTTTACCCCTAACCCTTAAAAACATATACCCTAGACCCGTGTAACCCCTAAAAGAACTAGCTCCTACCCTATAAAATCCCTTATAAAAACCCCCTTTAAGGAGCTTAGACTATAGAAACCTTAAGAGAACTTTGCGACTAAACCTTTGATCCTTAAAACCCTACACCCTAAGGGTCTCTATAGTTCATATATATCCTACCCTGAAGCTCAAGACCCGACTCTTACCTCGACCCAGTCTCTGCCCCAAAGCACTGCAATGTCAGAATCCGTCAAGTTGTCTTCAGCGCATTCGCGCTTCAAGAAGGCGCGCACCTGGGTAGAGGGTTCGGGGTTTAGGGTTTGGGCTTAGGGTTTAAGGTGGGTAGTTAAAAGTGTGATCTTTTCCGGGGTCCCCTCTGGGCTGGACTATAATCGGAACCTTGAAAGGAAGCATGAATTTGACAACTCGCAACATCTTCGCTTACGGCTGTTTCTACGAGACTACACTTGTAACTCGAGGAGTATCACTGCATTGCTCGTCTTTGGTCCTACCCCAGGTTAGTTGACATGTACCTAGCACATGAAAAAAACGTGCAAGTACGTAGCCTTTTGCTGCTCATAGCTTATAACCTCGCTGTACATATCCATGTACCTCCACACACCACTCACACGTTGAGGGCTGGGGTTATGGCCTTAGAAATCTGGAATCTGTTCGCCAAAACCGTGATGTCCGAAGTCCGACATTCAGGTTCTTGTGGCTTGTGGTTAAGGTTTGGGGGATGATAAAAATAATGATAACAATAGCAGGAATATCAGTCATGGTAATAAAAGATTGTGGTAATAGTACTAGTTCTCATAGTAATCCTAGTAGTCACAATGATAGTAATGAAAAAAAGCCTGGACTAGGGAGTTCCAGCGAGGCAGGCCATGCAACTATCACTTGCTTGAAACCAAAATCTTGATTCGCGAACCCATGGCATTCTCTTCACATCCCTGCAAAACGATATCTCCTAGCCATGGACCTTAAAAACAGAACAAAAGTACTGGGGCGCAAGGCTCAGCCCTCAAACAAAACCGAAACTGCCATGAGTTCTTTCAAACTGGCCTCAAAGCCCCACTAAAATTATAGTTTTTGGTTGTTATGCGAATTATTAAAGCCAAAAACAAAAAATCATTTAAGGCCCTTACAGTCTTTTAAAACCCATACATGATCCTTCTCCTACCTCAAAGCCTCGAGAACTGGCCGCCCCCCCCCCCCAGCCGACCCACCTAATAAAACATTCTTCCCCCTAATGTGTAAATATATATATATGCGTGTGTATATATAATGGTACTATATTGGGGGTCACTATGAGAAAAGGTTAGGGGGTTTATGCAACTCTTAAATGATCTCTATCCAGCCTCTAAACCTCCTCACAGGACAGTTTGGGGTCTAGGGGACCCTTACAAATTTTCAAGGTGTAGGGCAGAACCCCCCGAAACCTCTAACTCATCCCCCTAACCACCCTCCCAGTGATGAACCCCTTTCAATATCCTACGTTATACATCAGCAGGAATGTTTACAATTCGAAGGGCGCCCTAAACCCTCAACCCTAAAGATTTTTAAGCCAGGGGGACCGGATCACCAACCCCAATGCGACAGACCAAGGCACGGCACCGTAGGAGGACTGCCGAAGCCGATGGGCAGCCGTAGCACTGCGTGATTCGCTGTGTCTCCTATGACGGGTACATGAAATTGCATGAAGTCTTATAGGGCTCTTATTGGGCTACATGAGTTATAATCTAAACTCCTGGTATCCCATCAATAAGCCTAATGGTACTCCCCTATATAGTTCCCTATTATAGAACCCCCTTAAGGAGTTCGCACGACAGCCCATTAAAAAAAAAAACTACCGTTACACCAATTACACCAAGAAGGTTGATCCCAACAATAATCGAGGTATGGTGGGGGTCCAAAGAGTAGGGGTCCTTGAACGGGGGCTCTAGCTGGTACGGATGAAAATATCTTTAGGTACGGATGAAAATATCTTTAGGTATATGAGTGGGCCTCCATTTTTGAAACACCCACATTGGTCTAGGGCTTATTGTTGAAGCAAAAATGTTTTGGGAATAAAATTCAGGGAAGCATAGGTTTATGACTTATGGTTAAAAAAAAGTGGCAATGTGTGGGCTAAGTGCTGAAGAAGCAACAGTTGAGGGATTGGGGCCTGAAGAAAAATGGTGATCAACTGTTCAAAACCAAATGAGGGCATGCATCCTTATTGAAGTCCAAATCCCCAAACATCGTCCCCTTCATCCGCAGAAGACAAGTTGAGGCTACAGGTCGGAGGGCCAAGGCAGGAACATCATCTCTGCTGACAATGAGCATTTCTACGTGCAGGTTTGTAGGGTTTAGAAGAAGTTTGGGGCTGAGAATATGAGGTGGGGAAATGGACCCCTATCATAGCCCTTGCAGAATCTCATATTATGTATACCTCCTGGTCGCCGGTGACCGATTCCTTTGATCTCTACAGAACATTAACAAGGCAAGTCGAAGATTGCAGGTAGGGTTGTATTTCGGCTGCATTTTCATGGGGGTCCCCACATGCGAGCCATCCGGGGCCCCCCCCCCCCAAAGAGATCTCAATTCATGTTTTTAAGTTCCGCAGGCCCGCCCCCCCGGGGCCCTGGCCAGGCTGTGACCAAGGCCTGGACAGGACTGCAACCACGGCATGCAGCGTAGCAGCACCTTAACACAACATCACACACACAAATCAGCGGGCGCCCAAGGTCCTGCAGAGTCGGGCAGTTGGCTTGAATGCCGGTTGGTCTCGTGCCCAACCCCTGAAAGCATAGGCGGCGCGCGACAATATTTCGAACATAGCCCCATGTCGTTAATTTGATTGCAGTGCCGCTGCTGCAATGTCGGCTGCGCTTGCGTGAAACCTTTTCCGGTCTGCCGTAAAAGACTTCTGCTTCGACTTTCCTCTCGTCTCTGTCTCGTCTTTCCGGGAAGAGCCTGACTGCCTTTGGCCTCAGCGGCCCGAGCCGGAGGCTTTGAACGTCCGGCCTGGCTGTCGTGGTCCAGTGTGGATGCAAGCCTAGCTAAAGCTATGCTTTGATAGGGTGTGACGCCAAAGCTGCCGACCCCTCTCAGGAAATGGGCTTGTGGGTCAAAACATGTGTGGCGGGGCCGATGACCTGTCGACGTTGCATATCATGCCTCTGTTACACCTACAAGTGCCAGTTCTCAGGTTCCAGGCATTGCACATACTCGGTCCCTGCAGCCTCATCAAAAAAACCATCTGCAAGGTTTCAGAAGGCTGTCTCCTTATGTGGCAGACCACGTCCGCAATGTTTGCAATCCTGGGTTGCTGCTAAGGAACTTAAATTAACTTACTCTAACAAGGAAACCCCATTATTCACCATATACCCATACTTATGGTAACTCAATTTAAGTGCCTTAACAGCAACCCAGAATCTGTACATCCAGCGGCATGGACAGCCAGCAACAGTGGTCTTCGGCCTCCTCGTTCTCAGGATATGGGCCTCCCAGGGTCCGGCTCTTAAAGCGCATCCAATTGGGCACTTCTCTTCACAGGTTCAGCCCATGCTTTCGAGAAACCCACAAATTGTTATCTCCCAAATAATGACCTCCTTATGGCTTTGCCGGGTTTATCCAAGGGACTCCAAGTTCAAAACATGACATGGCTGTCAGACTCACGCAGAGTTGCATAACTATGGAAATATAAACTGTAGAGCTCTTCATATTACCCTTGTCATAGACTGTCTCGAGGTGGCAGGAATACCCAACCTAGACCCTGCCGTCGGCCTTCCCTGAAGGGTATGGCTGCTCGACGCAGCATGACAGTCGGATGTGCCAGGGAGCAAGAAAAAATCATATGCCACCTGGGGATCTCTCCAAAGTCGAGTCCCCCCATACACCACCCAAAATTAAGTAGTCCTAACTATACAAGCCCAGAAGTAGACTTAACCCCATTTCCGAATCTCCACACGTGAGAGCGTCGACATTGGCTCCCACACTACAAACCCTGTTTTCGGGACTTCCAAAATTTTTGTGCCGGATTTTTGAGAACCCGCATTTTGAGGTACTTCCACCTCGCCAGAAGCGGGTGACAAGGAAAGCGGTATTGCCGCGCGCCGAGATTTAAGCCTGCCGAATCCTCCGTGAAGGTTCTGAAGCCTCCACCGAGGATGGCAATCGACGCATGCTTTTCCAGAAATCCTGGGTGGCTGTGAAGGAGCTTACGTGGGGTTTAGGGTTGAGGGCTGAATTTAGCATAGTGCAGAATCAAATGGAAAGCAAAATTGCAAAATGATGTGGAAACTGGAGTTACATAGGCGTTACATAGGGATTTCAAGAACTTAAGTTACGTTGCCATCATAGCAGCACTATTTATGGTAACTTCAAGTTCCTCAACGGCAACCCAGAATCCCAGCTGCTGGCTCAGCCGAGAAGGCAGAGCAATGTCATCGCCATCCAGCCGGGATATGTACCTCAGCTTCAGAAGACCTTCAGTTTCAAAACCCTGCAGTTTCAACCCTAAACCTTTACCCCGAAACCCTGAACCCTCCACCCTGAGACCTGAACCCGAAACACAACAACAAAGCAGCAGGTCCTTTGAGTAATGAGTGTATTTAAAATACTATACCCCAAAAGGAGGATATAATCTTACTCTATATTGGGTACCATAGTATCCCCAAATAAAATACTACTCCTTTGGGTCAAGGCACTGCCCCTGGCAATGATTCCAGCCGAAGTTCAAGGCCGGCCCCACACCAGCGCTTTTGTCAGACCTGACCTGGGCCGATGTTAAAAAACCCAATGGTTTAGGGTTTAGGGGTTTAGGGTTTAGGGTTTAGGGGTTTAGGGTTTAGGGGTTTAGGGTTTAGGGTTAGAAGGGGTGTATATGGAGAAAATGGGGTTTGAGGGAAGATTAACCCATAACGGCAAATCAAAAAGGAAACTGAAATGGAAAGCAGGGTTCTCTGGGGTCAGTAGGGATGGTACTATTAAGTTGCCATTATGAATTCCGTTTAAAGGGGGTATGGGTGACTATATACGGCTGATATAATGTTCTGCAGGGTGATAGAGGGTTTCGGGTTACAAGTTTCGGGTTGCCAACATATGGATATTTTGTAAAGTATACGGATTCCTTATTGTGGTAGCTGAAATTAAATTCCCAGACTGCAACGTAGCGACAACCTGTACATTGGGCAGCGCGCGCCAATCCTTCAGGATTTGCAGAGTCTCTTCCTGAAAGCCGGCAGGAGGGAAGTTCAACACATCCAGTATCTTAGACAGGTATTTCCAAAAAAGAATCCCTCCTAAACCCTAAACCCTAAACCCCAAACCCCTAAACCCCCCCATATATAACTCAATATTCCATACTTGCCGGGCTCCAGGCTTCAAGGTGCAGGGCTTAGGGTTAAGGGATAGTACCCCAATGGAATACTGTCCCAATGATAGGAACGGTCCCAATAATAGGGTTTAGGGTTTAGGGTTTAGGACTGTCCCAATAATAGCAACTGTCCCAATAATAGGAGTTATATGGGGGCTATATGGGGCTAAATAGGGCAATGGAAATGAAAATGGAATTGATTCTGGGAAATGCCCAGCAACGCGAACCCGCTAAAATTTGTTTAGAGTTTAGGCATAGCAGCTGAGGCCTAAAACCAAATCCCCGAAATTGCAACCTTGAAGCCTGAAATCTAGAGCTCACACGTTGCGGGCTGAGGGTTTGTAACTGGCGCATATCTTGAGCTTTACCTCAATGTGGCATCGGGCTTATTAGGATTTAGGGTGTATGTAGGGAGCCCAAGGAACGAACTTCCTAATGCTTGGAGGTTCTGCTATCCACAATCACGCGTTTCACAAGCACATATCCAGTATCACTTAGTACCTGTGCCAAATGCAGACAGCCTCAAGAAGCAAAAAAGAGAACCGCTATATACTGCCAGCTCGCATGTAACTTCGAATTTTCTGATCCATTTGATTCTCCATTATTAGGGTGGCATCCCTAAAGAGGCTTTACACTAAACCGTATACAATGGGTTTCCACGTTAGTTTCCCAATTTCAACACCAGCTTCTTTTTGTGATCCATCATCAACGACGATGAGCTCCCATGCAGCTGGTCCAACACCTGGGCGCATGAAGGTTTACAGGACTTAGGTGTTACTGGTTCCAGGCTTATGGTTGCGAGATGTTGCAAGCTTTGAAAGGTTGATGGGGTTCGTATTCGGGGGCTAGGGTTCAGGGCTTAGGGCTTGTTGAGTTATTTGGAGAAGGTTTGACAGAGGTTTATTATAATTAGGGTTTGTTGCCTGGTTTGAGGATCTTGTGACCTGAAAGAATAAAGCCCAACGGCTCTATGTATTGCAGGGCACAGAGGTCTAATTGCTGAGGGGTCCGGCCAGGTGGTACCTTGAAGGTCCCCAAAACTGTTTGTGGATTTGTCCGCGTCTAACATTTAAAAAAAAAAAAAAGGAGAGGAAATTCATCATTATCCAACTGTGACACCCAGCTAGGGTTTTAGAGGCTTCTGGTTTGAGGGCTTAGCAATTTGAAGAAATTTTCGGGTTCAAGCCAACGGTTTTGAGGTGTTTTTGGTGTTTAGGTTTGGGACTTTACGGATTAGGATTCAAAGTTTAAGCTTTGGTGTCCCTCCCAAAAAAAGCACCTGTCATTACATGCCCGACAAGCAGTACGCGGCCGTCTTTCCAGCCTTACTGTCTACTGCGTTTGCTTCTGTGGATGAAAGTTTAATTCAGGTTTAATTAAAGCCTGCCTAGAATCTCTACAGCACTGCAATCCTTACCATGGATGGTATAAATCTTGCATGACCCAAAATACCTGATACCTTGGGAATTAAAACACTTTAGAATAATCAGGTCATGCAGCCATGCAAGACATTCGATATCAACAGTAGGATAGAAGGTATAGAAAATAGTGAAATCGCTTGATCCATTGTATCTCTACGAGCAACTACAAGAAGATCAACAACCGCAAACCTCGCCACCACGAAATCATCAATCATAGTTGCTAGTTGTGATTGGTAGAATAAACCCTAAAATTCCCCCAACCCCTGATACAAAATCTCAAGCCCTAAAACGCTGAACCCGCAACCCCCAGACTCCAGAAGTACCCACAACCCTTACTGAAATGTCCATGCCAGGCGCCGCACTGACCTCGAATGCTCTTCAAGGCTTCCTGGAGCCAGAGCGCTGGCGTGTCCTTGACCGGCATCAGCCAGGAGACAAGCCTAAGTTGCTCAACGTATTGGTTTAGGGTTTAAGGGTCAGTAAGGAATTATTCTGAAAGATGAGTTTGGGCCACTAAAACATGTAATTACATGGGATCTTCTGGAGGGAACCAAGATTGCAATGGGAATAAAAACAAAATCCAATCGTCCTCCCATGCTGTCTCTCTTTCAACTCTGCGGTAAATCATACGCACTTGTCACAACGTGCTCGGAGCCTTCGCAGCTGCCTTTAACGTTCACAGGTTGCACTAATTACATGCATTACAACAACAAATTGCTGAGACGTCTAGGAACGGCTCAGGCACCCTGATGCTTGGAGGAAGGTCCATCAAAAGTGGCACGTGCACACTGTCCAGGTATGCTTCCCTGTAAGCGCGGGAACGCAGCAGTGCAGGAGGCCACTCACTAGAAGAGCTTGCATCCTGGGCTGCTGCTCAGGAACTTTGAGTTACCATTGCAACTATAACTATAACACAACAACATTGTTTGCTCTACTTATCCCCAATATGGTAACCCTAACCCTACATTACACGGAACCCTATTACATCCTCTACTTTTAATAATACGTTAATCTAAGTTCCGTAACGAAACAGTAACCCAGCATCGTCCAGACCTGGAGGAAGTAAGGCGTCGCACCAGTAGCCGCGCAAGAATTCGGGCGAAGTACCCAACAGCCCTGACATGGCAACGGCCACGTCGCCGCCTTCGGGTGAGTCCTCTGGGTATGTACCCGACGACGCTATTTAGCGTCAAGTCTAAGGGTGTAGGTCCTATTTGTGGGGGCCAAATTGCATGTCCAGTACGTGGTGAAAGCGACATTGCACCTGGAAGGGTTTGGTGCAAACCTACATCATCTCCTGTTTCAAGATCAAGGGAAACCCTTTTGAGACCAAAAAGTATACCATACACAGTGTAAGATCAAGGAAACCATCTGTTCCCATAAAACACCCTACGCTCCTCCACAAAAAACTCATGGAAGTTACAATACAACAGCGCAGTGGCGAGAAAAAATGGACGCGGAAGTGTCTCCCACGCCCTATAGTCCCCCTTAAGTAGATAGAATATGGCTTTGGGTACATTATAATAAGATGCCCATGTACCCCATATTCTATCTACTTAATGGGAATTATAACCCTAAACCCTAAACCCTAAATAGTAGTTTCCATTTTCTTTTGCATTGTCCCCATGTAATCCCTATATAACCCCTTTAAAGGGACCATATACCTCTAAACCCTAAACCCCTAGACCCAGGGGAGGGGATTGGTCTTGGCCGCCACTCCTTTGGCGGCCTCGCTTCACGCAGCGTTGCCCGCAGCAGCTGGTCCAGTACGTCCTAACCCAAACTCAGAAACCAAGAAACTGGGTTGCTGTTAAGG